AGGCGCATAATGCAGCCGCTGCTCAGCGTGCTAATCAATATGCTCCGCCACCTGTCCCACAAATGCCCCAATCGCCCCCCGCAAGACCCTGGACTCCAACAGAGTCTCCAGAAAATGCCCCTCATGGACCCCCTAGAGTGTATCAAGGGTTGAATGAGATTACCCCATCGACATCTCCACCTGCTGTTACTCGACCGCAAAGACAAGGTTCGGCACCACCGGTCAACTCTTTAGAACAAGACTTTCAGCGGATGCAAATGTCGGCTGAAGAGCCTCCGCCAGCGTATTCTAGTGTGACTCCTGGTGCCAACTCCCGAGCATATCCGGCCGAGAAACAACAGCGGTCGAATCCTCCCGCTGCTATAGACACTACTCCGAAACCAAATATTGCACCACCTTTAGCGACACCTGCAAATAATCCTGACCACCCTGCATTTGCAAATGAGCCAAGACAGGAACCGATCCAACAGCAGCCCACGCAACCAGGCCCCTCGGCTCAGCCTGCCAATGTTTCTCCGTTTCAAGGTGTTGGTCCAACATCTCCACCACCACTTCCAGAGGGTTGGATTGCTCATCTTGATCAGAACTCTGGTCAGTATTATTATATCCATCTCCCTACCCAAGCTACTCAATGGGAGTTCCCCAAGGGCCCTACTCCACTGAATGATGTTCCGCTTTCGCCAGTCCTGTCAACCTATGGTGGGTATGGCAACCCCATGGCATCCCCAGGCTTAAGTATGTTCAGTAAACAATCCCTTGCCTCTCCTGGCTTTCAAGGGATGGCCTCACCTGGATTTCCTCCACACACCCCTGGCTATGCGGAAAGTATTATGAGTATGGCGTCAGGCACGCCAACTACTGCTGGATTTTCCGGACCACCCCCTAGTGCAGGAGTCGACATGTATAAAGTTGTACCCACGAATGGAGTATATTTTGGTCCTTATCTAAGATACGTAAATATGGATATGGAGAACGGTATATGGCTGGGTACAATAATGCTTGTAACGGATGCTCCACAACCTCCAACTATTCATATCCATCAAAGTGTTGATTTGTCGCCGAATCCTAGACAGCTCAGACCGAACCCGATTTATACACATCGAAGATGGGTCTTCTACCGTTATGATATAGATTTGAAGATGGGAGAAGGTCTAGGTGATAAATGGACTTATGCTATAACCTCGCATTTGGGTTGCACGCGATATGAGTTTCTGGTAGCTGGACGTTTCGAGACGAATTGGAGATTCATTGCACATTCTGGTAATGACTTTGCTATGAATACTACAGTTAATGAGCGTTCAAAACTTGGCGGCATCGGGTTTATGTGGAAAGATATTTTGCAGAAAAATGTAGAGTGTGGTGGTTTCCATGTGCAATTGGGATTAGGAGATCAAATTTATGGTGATAGGCTATGGAAGGACATTCCTCTGCTGAAGCAATGGCTTGCGATGAGTGGCAAGGAGAACAGAAGAACTGCAGCATGGACAGCAAGGCACGAGGAGGAAGTCTCACATGCTTACTTCCATTATTACACCAGTCATTTTGATCAGCCATACTTGAGGGAGGCATTTGCTCAAATTCCTCACATACTACAGATTGATGATCATGATATGTAAGTTTTCGTCGTTGTCATTCCTTATCTTTACTAATACCTTTAAGTTTTGATGGTTACGGCTCTTATCCAGAATATATGCAAAATTCCAATATGTTCAGAAACATCGGTCGTGTTGGTATTGAGATGTATCTCCTATTCCAACACCACACTACAGTCGATATTCTTCGGAACGTCAGCACAGACATTGATTTATTTACAATCACTGGAACTGGCTGGCACTTTGTTAAATATCTAGGACCTTCAGTCGTTGTGGTAGGTCCAGATTGTCGATCAGAGCGTACTCAACGCCAGGTTCTCGCCGGTCCTACTTATCAAGGCATCCTTCCTAAAGTAGCCACTCTACCTCCAAGTGTACAGCACTGTATATGGATGATATCGGTGCCTTTGATATATCCACGACTTGAAGCCGTAGAAAGTCTTGCACATACCATGGCTACGGGTAAGAAGGCGGTTAATAGCACATACAACTTACTCGGTAAAGTCACAAGTTCTGTGGCTGGAGTGGTGGGAGGTAAAGAAGCTGTGGCAACTGGTTTTTCCCACGTCAAAAAGGCTGTAGGGAAGTCGGGATTAATGGGAGGTGTGCTGAATACATTTGGTGATATTGATATTGCGGATGAGTTAAGAGATATGTGGACACATGAGAGTAAGGATTTGGAGCGAACGTATTTGATACGGACATTGCAGGGAATTGCCCATCAAAAAGGAATTAGGATGACGTTCTTATCTGGCGGTAAGTCGTCTATACATCTATTAAAGTATCACAAGTTACTAACATCCCTAGACGTAAACTGTTGCGGTGCAGGTCTTGTCCACGATCCTTCTCATCCCTCTAACCACAAAACCATGTATCAAATCATCGCATCTGCAGTCGTCGCCGCTCCACCTCCATCATATGTTCTCAAAATGCTTCACAACAACAAACCACTCTACGTTCCTCAAAATGGTGTCAAAACCACAAACCTCGTTAGCGATACCAAAGAAGACATGATGGAAATATTTCAAACGGACACTAATGGTGGACCACGAGATATGAAGAAGTTAATGGGTAGGAGAAACTACGTAGCGTTTGTAGCTTTCGATCCGGATGCAATTATGGGTGGTATGAGTGCAAATGGAAGTATGCATAGTGGGAATGCGGGATTGGCTAAGTTGAGTCTGGCGGTGGATTTTGTGGTGCAGGGGGATGGGGGGTTTAGTCCTCCTACTAAATATGGTCCTGTTATTATACCAAGCCTGGAGTTTGGTAGATGAGGAGGAGGGGGATGTATTGATTCGTGGAGAGAGAGAGAGAGAGAGAGAGAGAGGTATTAGCGATGAAATGTATTTGATGATATATACTTATACTTTGCCATAATTGAACTTAAACTCGGGATATATTTAATGGAATATCTATCTTATTTTTATTCGATGGCTTGGAAAGCATGAAAGCATTTATGAGGGAGTTGGTTGTTGGTTGTTGGGATTGGTGGAAGCGGTATTTTATATTTTTATTGGTTGGGATTACTCGAGTATCTTGAATGGTAATATACTAGAATAGGTAGTTAGTTGGTTGGAATAATAAGAATGGCTTTTTGGATGGATAGATAGATGGATATATATATGGATGTATGTATGTATATTCGCTTTTAAATGATCTGATGAGATCATATGGAAAGGGTTAAGACTTGTGTTTTTCTGTTTGTGTTTGTGTTTGTGTTTATCCTTGTGTTTCGAGGCCTTGTGAGTTGGATTAGCAGATGTCCTAGAAAAGAAGAGGAAAGGAAAGGAAAGGGGTGTATGGTTATGGTATGGGGTTTTGAGAATTGGTTTGTGGTAGGTGAAGTCTGTGTTCTATGAGTACGGAATCCTGATCTACCTCCCTGTTTCGTAAGGTAGTAAGTATAAGGGTGCTTTTAGTTTATTTGGACATTTATTTGAGTTTAATAATGTGATATTGTAATATTGTGATTGTTGGGAGGTTTTTGTAGGGAATTTTTATAAGGTTGAGGATCTTCTTAATGTATATAGAGTATAGATATCTAGTTTTCTAAAGTTTTATTACCTAATTTAAAATTTAAAATGTCTATTATTGTAAGAACGTAGGTCAGTATAAAGTAAGGTAGTCCTGCAATTATAATGGGGGCCCCAGTGGTTCTCGCTAGGTTAGCGTCTTAAACAGCTCATCCCTGCCATCCACATAAAGCAAATGCCCCTCGTTCCCCCTGGTAAAATAACCAGACCGCCAAAGTGTCAACTTTCTTAAGATCTCAATATCATTTCTCTCGTTCATTTCTTACTCTATTCCCCAGAATACCATATTTCAAAATGACAGACGCAATAATTGCCAGCTTTCCTCCTCTCGCAGAGCGACCTATCAAAAACACTATCTGTCTCTTTGATGTTGATGGAACTCTCTCCCCCGCGCGGTTGGTACGTTACTCCCAACTTCTATATCCTTTGCTATGCCTCAATTAACATCGAAACCTATAGTCCGCTTCTGCTGAAATGCTCTCCCTTCTTGCTGCCCTCCGCCAAAAATGCGCCATCGGGTATGTAGGTGGTAGCGACATGGCCAAACAACAAGAACAACTCGGCACAGCTGAAATCCCCGTTACTTCTCTCTTCGATTTCTGCTTCGCCGAGAACGGTCTTACAGCTTTCAAGAGCGGTGTCCCACTTCAATCGAATAGCTTCATTAAATGGATCGGGGAGACTCAATACAAGGAGTTGGTTAGGTTTATCTTGCATTATGTGGCGGATTTGGATATTCCTGTAAAGAGGGGAACATTTATTGAATTCAGAAATGGAATGATCAATGTTAGTCCTATTGGTAGAAATGCTAGTGTGGTGGAGAGAAATGAGTATGAGGTTTATGATAAGGAACATCATATTAGAGAGAAGTTTATCGAGGCGTTGAAAGAGAAGTTTACTGGTTTGGACTTGACGTGAGTTTAATTGGAGATTCTACAATCCATTCAATGGGCCAGGCTAATATTTTGAAATACAGCTACTCAATCGGTGGTCAAATTTCCTTCGATGTCTTCCCTACTGGTTGGGACAAGACATACTGTCTTCAACATCTTGAGAACGATGCGAAACGCCCAGGTGGTATCGAATATACTACTATTCATTTCTTTGGAGATAAAACTTATAAGGGAGGAAATGATTTCGAGATCTATGAGGACAGGAGGACAATTGGTCACAGTGTGAAGAATCCGGATGATACCATGAGGGATATTAGACAACTTTTTGATCTTTAAGTTCATAAGATTCTAATAATAGAGACATATACATTAATACAAAGGGAGTATAGGAAATTAGGAAAGACTTTACAGTTTTCACTGCTTCGCCGGTGACCATCTCTGTCAATCGATGGAATATTTCAGAAACGTAATGCAGTACATGGATTTTTGGGTCATTGGACTATTTTACTCGATGCGATTGACCCCTTTCTCTGTCCTTCTATTGAAAAATCAATTCCATAAAATCCATCTAATCTAAATGATCTGATAAGCCAAAAGCGGAATAACCACATTCTCCCCATCAGGAATAACACAAGTAGCATTCTTCCCCTCATCATAAGAACAATCCATCTCAAACTCCACACTCCCACTCCCTTGAATCACACTCCCATTCGTACACGCCCACTGATAATTCGGCTCATAATCAATCCGTCCCACATTCCCCCCCGCAGTCCCGGGATTACTATCACCGATAAACGTAACCCGATAGGCTACTCCCGCGCAAAATACAATTCCGTCGCCTACATCGTAGCGACGGAATCCCGCGGGGTTGGTTTGCTCGCACGAGGTGTATTCTAAGGGTGTGTTGATGGATATTTTTATATCGTCTGGTGGACCGTAGCCGGCTGGTTGGAGGGGAAGGCCGGTAAGGCAGGCGTTGAGGCCGCATTCGGTGCAAGGGCCTAGGTTGCTGTCGCAGCCGGTGAGGCCGTTGGGCGTGCTGTTTACGCAGACGTTGGCTGAGGGGGTTGGGAGGTGGTTAGTTGGGGGCTTATGTGAGTTTCTTGGGAACGGGGAAGGGGGAGGGTAGATGGTATATGAATAAGTAAATATAAAGGTAATACTCACGAACATCAACCTGATTCACACAATCCAGATTATGTGAGGAATTAAACCAGATGAAATTCGTGACTTCCCACGTGGGAATCACATCGCATTCGGCGGGTGGAGTGACTGATTGTGTTGTGGTTTGCAGGAGGGGGGAGCTCGTGCTGGGTGTTATTGACACGCTTAGGAGGAGGAGGAGCGGGGAGGAAAGAATTTGCGGGAGCTGCATGGTGGTGGATGTGTGTTGTTTGAGGTGTGATGGTCGGTGGATGGGAATGTGGAAATGTGGGAAATCGGCGTATTTGTACTTTTTATACTCCTGCCATATACTCCAATATCGAATGCAGTCTAGACATATTTATATTTATAATGGTATACATACATACATACATACATATACGAAGGATAAATAGTATATACTATACTAGATCTACAAGGTTCTTTTCTTCGTATACATGCAATGGTGACGGAAGTAGTTGTTGTAAGCTTATTTGTATATGTGGCAATGCGATGTAAGATTTTGACACAAAGACAATGAGGACATACGCTTGTAATACGAAGTTTATACCTAGCTAGTAACTACTTAGTATACTTGGATACTTCGATGTATGCGCGATGAATAAGCATATCTGCAGAAGAAAAATCGGATATTTTCTTGGCGAGAGAGGCTTTTTACGTTATAGTGTTACTTATATACATATCTTTATTTTTGTAAGCCGAGTCAAGCAAGATCTTTCGGGCTACCTCTGCGATTTCTTGTTGAAAATTTGAGGTGAGAGTTAATTGTTACCTCGTGCATATATACATATACATGGATTTTCATACCCCGGATTCATGAATCGTGTTTCTTTGCTGTTGTCAAGATCTTATATTACAATTTCACGAGACTCACTGTGTATTGTTCACCCAAGACTAGGTTTGAAGGGATATTTACGTGTACGTATATATTCATTCAGACTAAGTCTACTACGGATTAAATATAATGATTTGGAAGAAATGGTACGGTTTAGAATGATACTCTGCTTTCTCTGAAATTTCTCTACATACGCAATTAGTAGCTATGCTGTTATATTCATAGCGATGGTAGTTGTACGAGTAATTCTGCTATATAATTATACAATTTTGGCAGATGTTTAATCTTCAGCTTGCTACTGCAAATTAAAAAAGGGAAGCTGATCGATCAGCAGAAAGTTTGATTGTATTTGCCGGAATGGCTTGGTGCTAGTTACTAAATACTAGATGCTATACTCTTACCACTTATGCAGCTCTACTATATAATTAGCTTTCTAGTGGAAGGTTGCTATTTCTATGCTCCTGAGCACTTTTCTCCCTTTCTATTCACTGCTGCGGAATCATGGTAAGATCCCTACGTCCGTTCTCTTATCTCCTGCTTCGATACTTTACTTTCTGGTGCGTGTGCGAGCTGGAACGTGTGATCTTTGTAGTTGGAAAGTATAGCATCGCCTGGCGAATACGATAATGAGGTTTTCGTACAAGGCAGTTGAGACCAGGGCTAAGTAGCCACACCCTACACGGGGTTTTTGATACCTCTAGGGCAAGTACCTACGATTTGTCTAGCTCTGTGCAAGGCGCCATGATCGTGTAATTGGGAATAATGGGTTGATTTTCATTTTTATGAGTGGGGATTTAAGTCGCGAGGAAGGTGTAGTTTAGATTGCATGAGGGACGTTTGTGTTAGATATCTAGCAGCATCGAGTATTTGATGTGATCTTAGTTTGGACGTTGGAGTTTAGTGGCCAGTCCGTTAATAGAGGTCAGTGTACGGGCAAATTCCAATTTTCGATGACTACAAGAGAAGATGACGATCCTAAATTGCAATCAAAATTCGATGCGTTGGCAGGCCTGTAGGGGTAAGAATGATTGTCAATATATATCAAGAACTTTGTGTATTGTTTTGGCTCATTAGTTTGTGGGCGTTGGCAATTTGTCATGTTTTCCTTGTTCTGACTGTGTTCAGATATTTTGATGGAACAGAATCTTCGGTGTCTACTATGGTTTCTGTGATTTTGTCTTGATACTAGCTATAGCTCATAGTTCCGGAACATTTGGAACTGCTCCAATAGCAGGGTTCAGGAGAAAAACAGCATACTGGGATTAAGGCCTAATTCCACCTAATATGAGCTCACAGGAGGTAATCCTTGAGAGGTATATACCGGGAATGCAGTCTCTATACTCAACCTTAGTGATCACCAAATAATTTCTGTACAGAGATATAGATATTTTCTGGAAAGACCTCTAAAACTTGCTGAATATGTTTGCTCTATTTCTAGGTCTAGGCCTTGTCGTTGATGGAGGAGCTGCAGTTGTGGACTCAAATTTCATTATCTACATTTTTACATACCACTAGAGTACAAAATTTCAAAGAAGACAAACTTCTTAGCATGAGAGTGAATTTTAAGTTCCTGAAAGTGTCGACATGAGGGGAGAAAATAACTCTCCTTGCCCATAATTAGAGCCCAGCACCATTGAAAAGAAGTATCATAAATTTCCACTGGCTGGCTTGTGCAAGAGATAGAAGAAGGTATTTCGGGTTTCAAGGTTCTACATTTTCTATACCTACAATATAAATGATGAATACATAGCAGCAAGGAATACTTTGCTGATAGTGGTGAGGATGGATGCATTTCCTTATACATCTTTTCATCCAGAAACTTTATGGAAGTTAGGTCAGATAGAAAACAGGACCTCCAATGCCGTTGTTTGGGTCCACCTGCGCTTCTCTTTCTCTAGACACGGATTACCCCATTTCTTCACTGAAGATTGAATTAAAATAGATTTTATATGTCTTCTAAACCCCCATAAGATTACACGGTTATTTTCCAATAATAATGGATGAGTCAACGAGATGTGTAAATCTCTTCCTCCGGGAACACAATGTTAATAGGGAAATCATTACAACATACTTATATATAGAGTAACTAATTGAAAGTTTCAAGTGAAATACAGATTTTAATATTCTTTCCTCTGGTAGCCGCTGGATAGATAACTCCGAACTCGCAATTAGGAGTCATACCATATCATATGACGCTCTTTCAAACTTCAATACTCCACTAGAGTGCACGACCATCAACACTTTTCTAGTCTTACCACAATATCCATTAAAGCACCTTCTTAAATTCGAATTGCTACCAACATAAAATAATAAATAAAAAGACTGACCGAACACCCCATAAATCCCTCAAAAACCCCTGAAATTCCACACCACGAAAATCCTCAAACTGCGCCAAACTATAAAACACTCCGCATTTCCAACGCCATTGTCCACTTCATGAGGAACTTTGTATTGACCCCGTACATTAAAGATCCCATAATACTTAAGCGCCCCAAATGATCAGACATAATCTAATCGTCGTATTATCCCGAAACCTTCCAGCCCTTTAAATATTCAAAATATCATATTCCAATCCAGTCACCAACAATCCATCATATTTCACCCATAATACCCAACATACCCATACCTCGAATCCACCACCCCATTCCCGCCCACCCGCCCCAACCGTCTCCTCTGCTGCCCCTTCCCCTCCCCCTCCGGCTGCGAGGTGTCTCCCCCACCCGAA